CTATGAGTTCACCTATAATATTCACCAGGAATAGGCCATGCATCCTATATGAAATAGTAACATAAATACAAATGCTTAGAAACCCTCAAAGAGGAGATGCCGGATCCTGAATGTGTTCAGATCTTTGTTTATTCTGGTGATGAATTTGCTTTACCACCTGCTTATTGCGCTCCTTTGGACTCTGCACTTGAAATGTGAGACTCAGAGATAATAAAGGGGCTTGATCCCTGTCTTGACCAAGAAATGGGAGTAGTGTTATAATTAAATATGAGTGTTCAAAGCAAACTGAGTCCATAGACGATTAAGAAATAGAGCTCTATTTCAGAGCTGAGTTTTCCCCATTCTGCTTCCAAGAAGGCAGCAGAAAAACTTGCTCATTAAACTTCTGCCGTCCTTGGCTATAAGCCTTGGCCCTGCAGGGCTGGCGACAACTGCTCCTAGATCAGCTGGAAGCAGCAACATCCTGATAGTGAAGGTTGAAGCTGATGTTCAACTCTAAAGTTGAAGGTGATGACATATGTGAGTCTTAGACCAGGTATGTTGAGTCCTCTTACTTGTGGACCTTTTATCTTGTGATTTGTCAAGAATATTCATTGAATATTACTCTTCACAATGTACAAACCCCAAGTCCTGGAAATAGATAAGATAAATAAGACTTACTGTTTTCCTACCTGGAGAAATACCAGATATTAAGGAACAGAAAAACATTCTTAGGTCTTTGTAGAAAGAGAAATGAAATAAATTCATTTTCAACTCAACTTTGGAAAAATGGGTATCAACTAAGTCACAAAATCACAGCAGTAAGGGGTCTAGCGCGTCTTGGAAATAGTTTCATTACTGTTGGTTAGGTTAAGAAACCAAAAGGCAGAGCACATCCATTGCTGTTGAGTTGATCCTGGCATATGGTGGCCCCACAGAACTGTCCCATAGCGTTTCCAGTCATTATGGACTTTCTACCAGATGGATTTGCAGTGACTGCCACAGTGGATTCCAGTGTCACAATGATTGTGATGATGGCAATGAACTCAGTGGTATTTTGTCATTTTATGCATGTGGTCACAGAGTTGGAACCGTCTAGCTCCCAACAGCTGTCTGTATGGAAGCAGGTTTCACCTGACAGAGAAGTTGGTGGGTTCAAACTCTTGTCCTTTCATTTAGTTACTTTGTGCTTAACCTCTACACCACCAGAGCTCCTCAGGACCCAAGATGTCTAGGTGATTCTTACAGATCATCAAGGGAGTGTTATGCTTATAGGAATCCAGAGGATCTTAGATTTGGATTTTGTTTATCTGGAATAGACAGGCAAATTTTGAGCAGAAGGTCAAACCAGAATGAACAAGTTCAAAGCTCTTAGGAGTAACTGGATGATGGTAATAGCTGTCAGCTGCAGTCTTCTGATCCATGTTCTACATACATTCTTTCTAATCAGTAGAATTGTTGTGTTTTGTTAAGTTTGGAGCAAAGGCTGTAAATTGCACAGGAGGAGATTGTCCATTTTTTTTCCCGTGGAACAGCTGGTGGATTCAAACCATGTTTCTTTGGTTGACAGTGTAACTCCTTACCCTTCGCCCACCAGAGCTCGCTTTTTATTCCCTTTATACATTAGCAAAATAGGTGGCTATTTCCATTTTGAATCACCTGAGATAGAGAAGAGTAAATGGCTTAATTGTATGGCCTTGGGCAAGTCTTGGAGACAGGGCTAGAAGTTGGGGGTGAGGGGCTGGGGGTGGTGGTGGTATCTTACCCTCAAAGCCTGGGCTCTTTCTGCTTTATGTCCACTGTATGACTTAATCAGACTTAAACAACCATTAAATTTTACTGATATTCTTTTAGTTCCATGTGGTACATTGTTGACTGTTTTTAACCAAATCAGTTGTACCCACAGTAGACTTGTGTCTCACTGCTCATTGCCATCAAGTTGGAAAAGCCTTGGCAGTACTGTGTGGCTTTGTCTGTTTTTAGTGCATATAGGGAGCTCCTATGGATTAGTCTGGAGGGAGTTGACCACTAATGCAAAGGCTGCACCTCAAAAACAAAAAAACAAAACAAAACAAAAGGCAGCACCTCTCTGTGGCTGGAATGTCACAGTGACTCTGAGGGAGAAAGACGAGCGGTCTCCTTCCTTGTGATTTCCAGTCTCAGAAACCCAGAGGTGGTCAGCTTCCCTCAGGCTCGGACTCTACAGCAGTGAGTTCGAGCTGGAATGCAGATATAAACTAGGTGTACACTATGGTGTACTATACAGTCATGCAACAGCCTTAGGAAAACTTTGGAACATTGTGAGGATTATAAAAATGTGACCCAGAGACACAAAGTCTGCATATGCTGTCGGAGAAATGATGCTGCTAGCTTTGCTTGATGTAGGGTTGTCACAGACCTGCAAGTCATGAAAGAAAACAAAACCACCAACCCACCATATATGCCTAAATTCAGAAGAGCAGTGAATGCCCCAGGATATAGCCCAGAAAGCAGCAGGGATAGGGTCGAAGGATTGATGGAATTGCAGGGAGGAAAAGTGTCATTAGATTGTGGGATTACACTGAAATTACTGTTCTAAAGTGAAATGTGTATGAACGGTTGAATGAAAAAACAATTTGCTTTGTAGACTTTCCCTCACATCATGATTAAAACCAACTGCACATATCTACAGAGAACAATAATGTTCAGTTAATTGAGATAAGTCTGTACCTCAAAACAAAGAAATAGTTTTCATGTGTGGTGTTATAATGCTGGAACACTGAAAAAATAATAGAATGTTTGGATTTCACTTACATGTGCACATAAATACCTCTGTCTTATAGGTTTTATGACTGCTCTGCAGATATTAGTGACTGTTCAGTTGGGTTTGTCGTGATAAGGGAACATTCTATTAAATACTGTGGGTTGTAATGAGAATTACTTAGGAACATACTGGTTTTTATTTAGAACAACATTTTACATAACAATTTTAATATGCTTTTTAATACAATATTATTAAAATCACGACTTTGTTCTCTAAACGTCCTTGGGTGGGAGTCAGTGTTTATTAAAAAAGCAATTAAGTGGGATATTATTTTTGTTACCGTTTAGATGGTTGTATATTAAATTTTGTTTAAAGCCTGAATGATTAATGATTTGAAGTCATGTTGGTAATGCCTAAATTATATGCAAAAAAAAGAGCCATGTTATGGCCATGGTACCTAAACTATTGAATTAAAGAAGAAAAATGACTGCAGCACATTGCCTAAAGCCACGCAATCATTGTGACCAGTGGAGGGTTTGAAACAGGTGGCAAGCAAGAGCGTCAAGTGCAACAATAAATAGCACAGACTAATTCCAGTAAGATGAAACTCCTCTCTTGTTGCAGAAAAAAAAAAAAGATTGAGAGATCAGATCATGACTCAAAAAAGCAAAGTTCAAGGAATGACTCCAGTGCAGGAGCACTTTTAGAATTCATTTACCAGAAATGACAATAAATGAACACTTCCCTTACCATGACGTCAAAAAGTATTTTTGCTCTTGGTTAAATGTACACCATCAAGTGAGACTGCTTTTCATCAGTAGAAAAAAATATTAATTAAGCTTTTATTTGTCAATGTGGTGTTACGGGGTGTGAAAGAACATGGAACTAACTGGCAAGTCAAGAGAAATGTGTCATCATAGGGCAAACAGAGACAGCTGTCCTTTAAATAACGGCTAGATTTGGTTAGATATGGTTTAAATATGCAGCTACCCTGTTGCCCTTGAGTTGATTCTGATTCAGATGAGCTGTGTGGCCTTCACAAGGCTTTCCTTCTTTATGGAAGCCAACTTCTTACTTCCTGCATTAAATATGTAACGGGAAGTAGAATGGAAGAGAGTGGGAGGACAATAATGCTTGGATGCTTGCTAAAATGCCTCATAGAAGTCTTACAGCTGCAAGAGATCAAGTGGGTGGTTGCTCCCTCGAGTTTACAGATAAGGAAACAGACTGAGATTTGCTCAAGAAACATTCCTGATGACTACATAGCCAGTGCTCTGTCCATTCTCAATCTTGCTTCTGAGTACATTCAAAGGCAAATGTGAAGATTGAATGAAGTTTGGTGGGTTCTTTGGTTTGGTTTTGTTTTTTAAAAAATATGTTTATGTTAATCTTCCAGAAATGAAGTTAGGGAGGGAGGAAGGTTGTGTACTTAAGGGGTAGTTTATCGTTTTAGAAGCTAAGAGTGAGTAAGGGGCCACTGAGTGGTGCAGTGGTAGAATTCTCACCTTCCATGGAGCAGGTTTAGATTCCTGGTCAATGTACAATGTCCATATGACCGGCTGCCTGTCAGTGGAGACTCACATGTTGCTGTGGCTAAACAGGTTTCATCAGAGCTTCTAGACTTGGATGGACTGAGAAGAAAAGCCTGGAAAACTGCTGTCAAAAAAATCTTCTAACTGAAGCCTTAATGATTACAAGGACCCTACCCCATTGTTCATGGAATTGCCTTAAATCCAGGGCAGCCTGTAAAAACAAAAAGGTGCAATTGCCTTGGAAGGAGTTTGAGTCCTTTAAACAAGTACTTCTTAAATGTCACAATACCCAGGAAACTTGTTCAAATTCCATTTCTTTTCATTCATTATAGTTGGGCAGGGCTGGGATTCTGTGTTAACACTGTGATCTCTAGATCATACCAAATGAACACCCCTTTCTTTTTTTTTTTTTTTTAGTCTTTACCATTTGTTTATTGCTAACGCATCATGTTCAAATGAGTACACATACTCCCTTTACAAAAGTAAGGCACACAAAAAGCCTTCTGTGCAAGTTCCATGTTCCCTAAATTCGCAGGCTGGGAAAGTGCTCCCAGGCCGCAGTCGCCAGGAGACCCAGAGCGGAGGCTCTGAGGCCCACAGGAGGCCTGAGCTTGACACCCCACTGTGGCTTCTCTCCGTGCACACTGCCAGGTCCCATGCCAGGTCCAGCAGCATGCAGAGAAGAGCAGCATCCACGTCCTAGCTGCGTTGCCAGTGAGGGGTTTGGCGTGTCGTCGTGCAGGGGTGGGTCACACGATGCTGAAGACCATGGACAGGTACTGCTCGTAGGACACCTGAATCCAGCCGTCCTGGTCCGTGTCATAATGCCGGAATATGTCTGTCAGTCTCTGTAAGACAATGCAGCCTTGGATGAAGTCGTCGAAAGCGATCTGCCCCCGGCCCTGCCTGTCGAACTTGCGAATGAGAATGTCATGGAACTGGTCCGAAAGCCGGTACCCAAAACCTGAGAGGGCCTGCTTGAGCTCGTTCTTGTCGATCATGCCCGAGTCGTCGCGGTCGTACGTGCGGAACACGTTCTGCCAGTCGGTGATGTACTTCCAGACACCGGTGAACTCACTGAAGTTGACGCCAGCCTTGTTCTCTCGGTCAAACATGGATATGATTGACCTGACAGTTACTGGGTTGAATGGCGTCCATGTACCGTTGGACAGCGCCTGCTGCAGCTCGTTGTCCGAGATCACCCCGCTCCTGTCTTTATCGACCCTCTGGAAGACGTTCCACAGGAAGCTCTGGTCCGGCAGCGCCGTGCCCGGAGCAGGGGCGGCGCCGGCTCCAGCGCCGGGCGGTAGGGGTAGGCGGCCATGGGCCGAGGAGAGAACCCCTGAGGAGCAGGGCGCGGGCAGCAGCGGTACTAATGGTCCAGCAGCCGCCCTACTTTGAACACCGCTTTCTAAGAGTAACACAGACTTAAGCAATAAATGATCACGATCACACACTGCAGTGAGGGATTAATGAAGATATGTCGAGATGTAAGGCTTCCCTGTGGGTGTGAAGGATGAATAGGATTAGAATGAGAAGTCAGAGACCGTGGCAAGAGGCTCAGCACACACAAGGGCAGAGAGGGGACTTAAAATCAAGTTTTCCCCAAATCTTCTAGATGGAAGGTCATTTGTAAAGGGGGGGACACCCTGGTGGATTCAGTATGGCCAATTTGAGATAGAATGACAGGTTGGTCAAGACCAAATTGAGTTGGACTTCTGTTTGGAAGTTTAAGCTTTCTCTTGTAGGTGATGGAATCACTACCAAAAGCTTTCGAGAAAAAAGGTTAAAATGAAAAGCAAAGATGTAGTAAAGATGCAGTACATTCAGTGGATTGATTGAGAACTATTGTGATGGCTGAGCAACGAGGCGAGCATAGCAGTTCATGAAGGTTGTCACAAGGCAGCCAGCAGCTGCTGGACCTTTGAAAATGGAATTGAAGTGTGCTGAAGTCAGTGTGGAGAATGGATTAGGAGTGAAGGGTTAGGGTTAGATGTTGAGTTTGTGTAACCATTCATAGAAATAGGCAAGGCAACTGATTGTGGGACAGGATGGGCACTGTGTCTTAACTACTGAATTTGGTGTGATGGTACAATATCCAAAAGGGAATTGCCAGTATAGCTGCCAATGTATTTAAGCTGAGATCTGGGTTAGATGTGTAGATTTGAAAGTCATCTGCGTGCAAACCCACTGTAATTGAGCTGGTTCCGTTTCATAGCTTTTAGAGGACAGAGTAGAACTGCTTTAAGGCGTTTTTGAAGTTGTAAATCTTTATGACAATAGACAACCTCATCTTTCTCCTGTGGAACAGCTGGTAGGTTAGAACCACTAACCTTAAGGCTGACAGTCTGACACTTCACCCACACTGTGCCACCACAGCTCCGCACCTGTGGATTGTTGTTTGGAGCTCTTGAGTTTGCTCTCATACCTGGTGACTCCATGTTTTTTACAGGGAGTACAGCACAACATTATTCAGTCCTGTGCCAATCCATTTTCTTGACGGTCTTTTTGTTTTTCAGTGGTCTTTTACTTTAACCAAGCATGATGCCTTTCTCCTGGGACTGGTGGATACGAACCATGCCTTTGGGATTGCAGTGTAGCTTTTTGCCACTAGGCCACTTGCGTGAAGTGTCAGGATAAAAATCCCTCCCTCCTCACTTCTGGCTACACTTCTTCCAAGAGAGATTGTTTGGTGGGTTTGGTTGGTTGTTTTTTTTTTTTTTTCCATTCTATAATATATTCAGTATTATTATTATTTTTTTTTTTGCCAATACCAGAGTTCAAAAGCCAGAATCAGTTCTTCTTCATTAATTTTGATTCATTGTCCAGCTTTAGTTTCCTTACATGCATATGAAGTGATTGAAAATACCAAGGCATGGATCAAGAATGAGCTACCCCTGCTAGTTAACGTCCTTGTATTTTAAGAGGTCCTTAGCATTAGACTTGTCCATTGCAGTATTTCTTTTGATTTCCTGATTGCTGTTTTCATGGATGTTGAGTGTGGATCCATAGAAAATGAAATCATGAGAAGGCAGTACTTACATGTAGAAGAGCAAAGCCTGGTTTTGAGGAAAACAGGTGAGAGAGAGAGAGAATTATTGATAGTTAAGGCCTCAGACTTTGCATAGGCCTACACTTAATGTTTTTTGAGAAAAGAGCAACTAGGTATTGGTTTTTTTTTCTATTTTTCTCTTTTCATAAATTTATTTTAAAATGAACACTTTTTTTTTGGATTCCATTTGTTTTTACACCCATGCTTTCTTGCTGGTGCTAAAAGATCACCATTGCCACCAAAACCATACCTTTATTCTGCAGTTTCTTTCTCATCAATTCTTTCTTTACCATTGACATTTAAGTGACTTTCCCAACTTTTAAAAGATTTTATTTACATGGACTAAATTTAATCCATTTTGCTGGTAGAGCTCAATGAATTATACAAAATTGTATAACCATCCCATACTCCATATGTAGAATCCTAGAAAGTTTCTTCATGCTTTTTACAATTCCTGTTACATGATCCCTGTTACCCTGAGGCAGTGTGATTTGTTTTCTCTTACTGCATTTTTGTCTTTTCTAGAATTTCATATAAATGGACTCATACAGTAAATAGATTTTGCACTTGGGCACTTTCAATTATAGTAATGCTTTTATGCTATTTATTTCTCTTTGTTAAGGAGTAGAGTTCTGG